TGAATAGAGAAAAGTATCTTCTGTATAATTCAGTGTTCATATAGAAGTATTTGTTTCGAAAGAATTTTTTTCTTTCGTGTAATTCAATGTTTATATGAAAGTAGCTGTTTCAGGAGGACTTTCTTTCAGTTTGTGTCTGAAAGTTACTTCTTTGCATGATCTACATATCCATGTATAGAGTTATTTATTTTCAATTTGATTACTTCCTTCCTTTCTTTGGAAGATTCCCTCATCCTTGTTTTTTGTATCAAGATGGAGTAGTAGAAAGCCAAAAACTTTCTTTCCCAAAAATTAATCACTCCTAAAAATATAACCCTTTCAAATCAAATTATGATTTCCTACTACGTAGTAACAGCTACATCCATCAATTTCTTTGAAAAATTGATACTAGGTTCAACGAGCCAGATAATGAACACCACCCAATAAATGAACAATTCAACTGATTTTATCTATAAAAAGGTTACTTCAATTGTTAGAAGCCGAAGAAAACGTTTGTAAATATGGCAACGGTCTGGAGTGGTCTGGACAATTCCATTCATACACTGGAAAAATCATAACCTCAAAGAGTGAATTCTTATATAACATCGACAGATCGGTACCAGTCAGATCGGACCAAGTCTGCGCCATAGCATTAAAAAGTTGTATTTATTGACCACAACCATTACATATTATCAAATCTAATATCTGAACAGGGTAACAAACAATCAAAAGATTATATTGCTCTATTGAAAATTTATATTATTCATGTGCTTACCGTTAAATTTTGGTGTTCATTGACTAGTTTCAAAATAACGAATATATCCAGTAAATGAACAGACGTTCATTTACTGGAGATTTACGCATTGAATGTGAACGGGACATTTTGTAATGTTCATTTACTGGGTGAGAATGCCAGCAAACGAAAAGCAACTTTTCCTTAGTTCATTAACTGATGTTCATTCTTCAGCAGAAATTATGTTTTTGTATTGCTCAAGAAATCATAAGAACGAAGTCAAAAATGCAGTAAAAAAATATTACAGGATATTGGTTGGGCCAACCCTTTCACAGAGAGCAGACCGGGCGGCAAGTGATTAAAATTATTTTTGGGAAGACATCCTCAAATTGCAAGAAAAAATACTGAAATTATTTCGAAATCCCGGGCATCTGTAACAGAAAAATCTATTTGAGCATGGTTTTCTGATCTTCAAGCTTTCCTGCAAAATGAAAGCATCTTAGATATGATCAAAGATTCTTCGAGGGTTTTTAATGCAGATGAAACAGCCATCAGAACTTGCATGAAATCTGGTCTAGTTTTAGCACCTGAAGGTTATAAAAACCTGTACGAAGTTTCTTCCGTTCTATGCAATTATTCAGCAGCAGGGATAGTAGCACCGCCAATGGTTATGTTTCCTTATAAAAGAGTTCCGAAAGATGAACTAATTAAGAAAAGGAAACAAGAGAATAAAGCCGAAACATTAGGAAACAGCGAAGGGCAGAAGGCAATGATAGAGGACAGGAAACTCGAAAAAGAAAAATACGATGAAGAGCAGCAGACTAAGAAATCGAATGAAGACAAAAAAGCCAAAAAAGAAGAAAATAACGAAGAGCAGGAGACTATGAAAGGAAACACAAATAATGAAAAGGAAAAATACGGCAACGCAGCAGACTGATAAATCGAATAAGACAAGAAAACGAAAAAAGACGAAAACAGCGAAGAGCCACAGACTATAAAAAAAGAAAAGAAAGTCCAAAAAGAAAAATACGGTAAAGAGCACCAGAAATCGAAACATGGCAGGACGTTTGAAAAAGACAAAGGAGAACAATGGGTGGAGAATGTAGAACAAGGCAACATACCTGAATCCTCAGCTGATATTTTTAATGTAGGGGACTATGTAGTAGTTGAATATGAATTGATACAATACCCTGGCTTGATAAAGAATTTTCATGATGATAAGTATGAAATCAGTGTAATGGAACAAACGAAATTAAGAAGAAAAGTTCTGTTCCAGTTCCTTATAACACGTGGGATTTTCTATGTTGACATCAATTGAATTTGATATTATCACTAAATATTATGTTTTTGAACTTATGATTGAATTGAAATTATGTTATAAAATCCAATA